GCTGTGTACATCCTGCCGAAGCCAGGAACCTACAGCCCCAATCAGGGGTGCCTTGTTTGTGGCTGGGGCCTAAGTAACTGAACCCTAACTTGCTGCTTTTTGGGGTGTCTGTTAGCAGGATCCTGGATTGGCAGGTAGCAGGGCTGGAACTCCAACACAGGCACTTGAGTGTAGATGGGGCGTCCTGACCGCCACACCACCCACCTGTCCCTCACCAGCGCAGAGGCTGTCCACAGCTGGTCTCCGTTGTGCAGCTCTCATCACAGTTGATTGTAGATTGACTACACTCAGTAGGAACCTGGTACCTGGACTGCCCCTCACGTCCCTCCTCCCTGCTGGAGCTAGGGAGCCACTGTAGACTTTTCCATTCTGGAGATGCTGTTTCAGTGGGGTCATATGGTACATGATTTTTTTTTACGGACGGTTGGTATGAACTAGTATCTAACTTCTAGGTCCGTTAGTCAGTGAATCATTTGATAAATGCAGGGGCTGTGGAATGTAATACACAGACACTTTTCCTTTGGTTTTTAGAAACCTAATGGGTGATATTTGGAGCTGGTGTGAACATCCTGTTTCCTAATATTTCATTAAAGGTGCTTGCTCGGGTCGGTCATTATTTCGGGTGGCTTTCTGTCGCTGTGTCGCAGAGGTTCCTGACTCAGAAGCCTTCAGAGGTTTCCCTTTTGCTTGTGTTTGCTCCCCTTTTGCTGTGAAAGTTTGGTTCTTAGGAAGAAATGCTTCGCATCTTTATTTTAAAATACCACTAGTATTAATGTATTTGTATTATTTTATAATGTAGATACAATTTTTATATACATTAAAATTTTTATTACAATACAAACTCGGAATATTGGGTCACATGACTTACCTCAGGAATGTGATTTTGTTAAAATATTGCCTAACCTCAGCAGGCTCTACAAACTTATTCTTGTCAGCAGTGTAAATGAGTTCTTACTTATAATCTCACCAATGTAGAATGTTGCCACAGCTTTGGAGCTTTTTGTCTGTGTGGCACATGAGAAATCCTCCAGATGTCTTTGTAGTGTAGATTGGTTTAGCATTGTCGCCACACACAGAAGCAGGCGGAACCATGTAACTGGGACATTGGGCCCCCACGTCCTGTTGTCCCGTTCCCCCCTCCCAAATTATTTTGAAGCAAATCCCAGATAGCTTTTTATGTTAGTAAATATCTCTAATAAGGATTCTTCTTTTAAATATGACAATACGCTATCACGTCAACATACATATTTCTTTAATATCGTTGAGCAATATTCAAATTTATAATTTTCTTAAATATGGCTTTTTTTTTTCCCTGAAAAAAAGGGCCGGGGTTTAAGGGCTGCGTGTCAGGCTGCAGTCGGGGGAAGTGGTCCTCCCGTTCCCTCTACTGCTTTCAGTTTAGTGGGGAGGCTGGCTGTCCTCCCGGGTCTCCGACTGGTCGAACCCACGCCGTTCGGCGTGTTCTCTCACTGTCTTCACCTGTTGCATGTCCTGTGTCTAAGGCGTACTCAGATCTGGGATGTTGGTGTTGGCTTTCAGACGTGGTCTATTCCTGGGTGAGGAAACACGTCAAATGTGGCCCTGTGGTGTTGATCGCGATGCCAGTGTGCCGGTGTGGTTCCCGTGTTACCCCGAGCATCTCTGCAGATGGTGAAGGACCGTTCTGATGACCTTTCCTGTACGGTGTCAGTTCTTGTCTGATTTCCACTCCCTTGATGCTGTATGCAAGCTCCACAGGCGCTCGGGAGGTCAGACCTCTGTGACACAAACTGCACGTAGTCTCTGAGCTTTGAGTCGGCAGGTGATTGCTTTAAAAATCTATTTGTACTTATTTGTCAGTGCGTTTTTAGAATTGCTGCAGGGCTTTTAACTGTCTTTTTGAAGTAACGTGAAATAAGCTGTATTCATTGCACAAAAGTACAATTTGATGAGTGTGACCCTGTCTGCCACGCGAAAGCAGAGCACTCGCGTGACGTGCAAACTGCCCGTGCCGCGCAGTCCTCCCTTCCCTCCGTCTGCTGCGTCGCTCAGCCACTGACCTGCCTTCTGTCCCCGGAGTGGTTTTCATTTTTCATAATTTTGTGCAAATAGAATAATCCACTAATGGCCTTTCATGTTTGGCTTTAAATTTTTTTTTTTTTTAACTTAGGATAATACTTTTGAGAGTCATTCATTTTGTTGCAGTGTCAGTGACTCCTTTGCTGTAGAGGCAGTGCAGTGGTAGATGAACCACCTCATTCAGCTCTCCGCTTGCTGACAGACACTGGGATTGTTTCTCTGGGGCTGAAGAATAGAGTTGCTGTAAACATTTATCAGTTAGTATTTGGGAGCATTTTTATTTTTGGGTAAACACCTAGGAATGGATTAGCCAGGTCCTTGGATAAGTATACCACACCACAGTCATCCGTGTCCACCGCGCCGTCCCTGCAGCTGGGCGGTGCGTACCCCTCGGCGGCTGGCAATGCACCCCTGCCTCCGTGTCCACCGCGCCGTCCCCGCAGCTGGGCGGTGCGTACCCCTCGGCGGCCGGCAATGCACCCCTGCCTCCGTGTCCACCGCGCCGTCCCCGCAGCTGGGCGGTGCGTACCCCTCGGCGGCTGGCAATACACCCCTGCCTCCGTGTCCACCGCGCCGTCCCCGCAGCTGGGCGGTGCGTACCCCTCGGCGGCTGGCAATGCACCCCTGCCGCGCGTAGGGATGGAAACCAGGGTCGGAGAGCCCTCGGTCCTGGGAAACTGGGTGCGGCCGGGAAGGGGGCCGCCCTCTCACCCATCACACAATGGACGTTTGTGGGGAAACCTAGCGCTAAACCACTCGTGGACGACCTGCTTCTGGGTCGGGGTTTCGTCCATAGCATAGCGACTCCCTCACTGCAATTTATTGAAAGTCATCAGCCCTGGACACAGGGTTTGTACAAAGAAAAAAAACTTTAAAAATCAAGGTACTGAACAGCTCTTTCTTCTCCAGAATTCTTTCAGCTTTGTCCTTCACTCAGTGGTCGACCAGTTATTTGACTTTCTGTATCCTTTTTTGGTCTGACTCCTTTCATTTTGCAGAATACACTTGACTTTTCTCTGTGTTGTTATGTAGATGAATAGTTCATTCCTTTGCATAGCCAAGTACCAGGTCATTGTATCGGTTTTATCACAAATTGCTTTCTCATTTACCAGTTGAAGGGCGTTTGGGTTGCTTGCTTTCTTGTCAGTTAAGAACAATGGCGCTGTAAACATCAGTGCACTTGGGTAAGTGCGTGGGAAAGGGGTTACTAGGCTAATGTTGTAAGGGTGCTTAGCTTCTTGAGGCACCACCAACGTTGCTCCGTGTAGTTCCATTTCGCATTCGCACCTGCAGCACGTCTACGGAGGTCAGTGCTTCCTACCCTGACTTCATCTGGCCTTGCCTGCTGGCTTGGTTTTGGTCCTAGCTGTCCTAGCAGGTCTGTTGCATCTTCTGTTTTTTTATTTGCGATACTCTGGCGTCTGATGATGGTGAATGGGCATCTTTTGTGTGTGTTTTTCACTTTTTATGTCTGTGTTAATTTACCTGTTCAACTTTTTCACTCATTTCCTTGTTTGGCTGTTTTTGTGATTGTTGAGTTGCAGTAATCATCTGCCTGTTCTTGGATTTCAAACTTTTGATAGGTGCATGTGCATGCAATATTTTCTCCCATCTTGTGGTTGGTCTTTGTTTCTTCTGAGGAAAAGTTGTGCATTTCGGTGGACACGTGGTGACCATCACATGGTTCGGGCTGTTTGTGACTTAACCTCGTGTTTCTAAAGACTTTCTCCTCTGCCTTCTTGTTCCGGAAGCTTGGTTTTAAGCTTTTACATGAACAGGAAGCTGGGTCAGAAGTAGAGTGACCGGGCCTTGAACTGGTGTCTGTCGCAAGGGGTGACAGTCTGCTCTTCCACAGTGCCAGCCCCTCTTGCTTTGTCTCCAATGTCTTCTGGTTGTCAATATTTATATTTTGTGTTGTTATTTTTAAATTTATTTATCTTGAAAGAGTTACAGAGGCAGAGGGAGGAAGATTAGGAGGGATGGAGAGAGAGAAAGAGGAGTCCGCTGTTTCAAGCTAGGAAATGAAGATAAAATATAGTCACTGTGGGAACTACATAGTAAGTAACAATAAAACATCCACTGGGGCAGTGGCGCAGTGGCACAGTGGCGCAGTGGTTAAGGTCCTCGCCTAGCATGCCCGGGATCCCATATGGGCTCCGGCTCTATTCCGGCAGCCCTGCTTCCCTTCCAGCTCCCTGCCTGTGGCCCGGGAAAGCAGTCGAGGACGGCCCAAAGCTTTGGGACCCTGCACCCGCGTGGGAGACCTGGAAGAGGCTCCTGGCTTCAGATCGGCATAGCATCGGCCGTTGTGCTCACTTGGGGAGTGAATCATCAGATGGAAGATCTTCCTCTCTGTCTCTCCTCTCTGTATATCCGCCTTTCCAATAAAAAATAATAAAAATAAATCTTAAAAAAAAATCCACTGCGTTATTTTTTTTTAAAGATTTAGTTATTTTTATTACAAAGTCAGATATATAGATAGGAGAGACAAAGAGGAAGATCTTCTGTCCGATGGTTCACTCCCCAATAAACACAATTGCCAGTGCTGTGCCGATCCAAAGCCAGGAGCCAGGAGCCAGGAACCTCTTCCAAGTCTCCCACATGGGTGCAGGGTCCCAAGGCTTTGGGCTGTCCTCGACTGCTTTGCCAGGCCACAGGCAGGGAGCTGGATGGGAAGTGGAGCTGCCAGGATTAGAACCGGTGCCCATATGAGATCCCAGTGCATTCAAGGAGAGGACTTAAGCTGCTAGGCCAGGGCGCTGTGCCCTATAAACTTACTCTCAAACATGGTTTTGCTCTTGCTTCAGAAATTGGTCTTTCTTGCTGCACCTGCTGTTGGGTGGTTGGGCGGCAGGCTCCCTGTGAACACACGCTTCTGTGGCATCGACTGGTCAAGCCTTCGTCTCTTTGTGGCATGCTCACCGGCTGTTTGTATCTTGCAGTGTAATGTTCCAGCACAGAGATGCCTTATGTGGATCGTCAGAACCGCATCTGTGGTTTCCTCGACATCGAAGAAAATGAAAACAGCGGCAAGTTTCTCCGAAGGTACTTCATACTGGATACCAGAGAAGATAGTTTTGTGTGGTACATGGATAATCCACAGGTGTGTAAACTCCAAAGAATGGCCTTGTAGGAGTATACACAAAGCTTTACTTGTGAAAGTGTTTGACACACAGGTTTTAGGATTTTTTTTAAAGAGATTTTACACAGAAGAGACACAGAGAGAGATCTTCTGTCTGCTGGTTCACCCTGCAAATAGCCTCGATGGCCAGAGCTGCGAGGATCGAAGCTGGGAGCCAGGAGTTTCTTCCAGGTCTTCCTCATACGTGAATGCAGGGGCTCAAGCATTTGGACCATCATGCGCTGCTCTCCCAGGCCATCAGCACAGAGCTGATTCAGAGCAGAAGCAGCTGGGACGTGAACCAGTGCCCATGTGGGCTGCTGGCACTGGCAGGTGGAGGGATTAGCCTCAGAATTGTCCTAAAACTGTCGTAGAAGTGTAGACTGAGCTTTGCTGGCTGTGTTCCCCTGTGCTGCACCCCAACCCCTGTGTCTTGTTAAATTTCAGTGGATGAAATGAAGTTATTTGATTAACATTTCTGCCTCTGTTTTTTCTTCTTGAGAGAGAAATGTTACCTGGTAGAAAGTGCTTAGCTCATTTAAGATACTGTATTTAGGGTAGGGATGCCGGTGTTTTGATGAACTACCGGATGCTTGTGCACATTTAAGCATGCCGTTTTTTTTCACCCTGGAGTGTTAGACTTAAGTGTCATTGTGAGATCATCTGTCAACCGAAATGCTTTCCTTTTTTGTTTTTTTTTGTTAGTTTTTGCCTTGTAAATCACTGCAGTAAATGTCATGATTTTAAAGCTAGAATCCTAGATTGAGAGATAACATATCCAATGTTTTTAAACTTTTTGTACTTCTAGAACTCTTTATTTCAAATAAAGAGTAGCTGAGAAAAGTTTAGAGTGGAGATGTGTGTGCCAAGCACTGGGCACATCCCTTGCCCACCTCCTGTCTGGTGAGCTTGTGCAGGTGGCGGACAGGGCAGTGTGGGCCTGTGGGGTGTTGAGGCTGGCTCGCTGGGCAGGGGCCAGGTCCCCTCAGAGCCCTCACCACGAGCACGTGGGAGCAAGGGACCTTAGTCATCTTCCTCTTCAGGTGATAAGCTCGTTTGCCCTTGGCCTTTGTCTTAGCTCTTATTTCAACCACACATTACTAAGAACTATTTCTTACATTTGAGACCATTTCAATTTTTTTTTCCTGTGAGCCAAAACTTTGTTCCTTATGTTTTCGACCCATCAGTCCTGCGTTTGCCTCGGTTCGCTCCACTTGATCTGAACCGAAAGCCCGAGAAGCGATTGCCTCTGTTCTCTGCGAAGTCTGTGTAGTCCCCCTTCACTGACGGCCTCCCAGGGTTGGGGGGTGAGACTTGTCGCCGTGTCTGCTCTGTCCTGGCTCTCAGAGCTTCCCGACAGCCAGTTTTACTGCCTTGTGCCCGGGCGTAACCGGCCTGCCTGGGTGGTAACCGCCTGACTATGCCACCGTACGACTGTTACCTGGGTCCATCTGATCAGTCAGTGCAAGAAACAACGGACCTGCAGAAAGCCACACTTGGGTTTATTTTTTTCTTTAAGATGTTTATTTATTTTTATTGGAAAGTCAGACATACAGAGAGGAGAGACAGAGAGGAAGATCTTCCATCCGATGATTCACTCCTCAAGTGAGCGCAATGGCCGGTGCTGCACTGATCTGAAGCCAGGAGCCAAGAACTTCCTTCCGGCTCTCCCATGTGGGTGCAGGGTCCCAAGGCATAGGGCCGTCCTCCACTGCCTTCCCAGGCCACAGGCAGGGAGCTGGATGGGAAATGGGAGCTGCCGGGATTAGAACCAGCGCCCATATGGGATCCCGGTTGCCTTCAAAGCAAGGATTTTAGCCACTAGGCCATGGCGCCGGGCCCCACTTGTGTTTACTTTTAAAAACAGAGTTTCGCATTGTTGCGGCAGTGAGTTAAGCTGCAGCTTGCAGTGCTGCATCCCGGAAGTGCTGGTTCCGGACCTGCTTCTGATCTAGCTGCCGGCCAGCCTGCCTGGCAGAGCAGCTCATGGTGGTCTGTCTGTTTACTCAAGGACTTGAATGAAATTCTAAGCTCTTCGCCTGAGCCTGCCCCAGCCCTGGCTTTTGTGTGCATTTGGGAAGTGAGCAAATGGATGGAAGATACCTTTGTCTCTTTTTCTTTCTCTATCACATTGCCTTTCAAAAATAAATAAATTTTTTAAAAATGAGATTCCTCCTTTGGTGACTCTGTCGGTACTTGGGGCACAGTCCTCTCACAGACTGGGTGGACACAGCTAGGTCCCTGCCGACCCCTCAGGCGCTTCGTCTCAGGTTCCGCTTCCTGTCTCTCCTTATCACTCACTGTTGACTTACATATGATTTCTCCTAAGTTTTACTTAAAACTCCTTATTTGTTCTTTTTTCCGGTTTTCATATATAACAGTATTCTGATAATTCCTTTAGAATCAGCGCTTCTCGCTTAAGAGAGCTGAATGAAGGTAAGTGCGAGATAGAACTATGGACTACCCCAATGAGGTCCACGTGCTCAGAATGTGGAAGGAGTGGGAAGCCCTAGGCAGCAGCAGCAGAGGTCTCTGCGATGCTGGCGATGCTGGCGTTGGAAGCTGGCCTGCAGGTCTGCAGCCCGGAGGTGTGAGGCTTGCGTTTTCAGGGCTCGGGGACTGCTGAGTGCCTCTGGTCCGTCTGGAGGGTTGTTTGCTCAGGCCAAAACCGAGAGCGTATTTGTTAAACATGAGGTTTTTTTATATAAAGTGCATTGGTTTTTCTAGGTGTAGTACAGACTTTTAAACCTTTTTCAGTTTCTTTTTTACAGCTTTTATCTTCACTTCTCAATTTATGAGGTTTTTTTTTTTTTTTTGCAGTCTTGGTTTTGTCAGCTAGTACACGAATACCAAATTTGTCACATTTAAGTATAAGACCTTCCAGACAGAAAGAGCAATAAAATATTTGTGAGTTCTGAGTTCCTGAGCTCATTACGCCTAGGCACTTTTTAGAAGTCTCTTCAGATTCGCTTTCTGGTATAGCTGCTGAATCGAACATAACCTGTTCATGGCAACTTTGATAATACCTCTTGCTAGGAGTATTACCTTGTGTTGAATAATTTGGAATTTACGACATGGAGCCATTTTCTGTAGCCAAGAAACGACATTTTCACGCGGTTCTGTTGGAATGGAGAAGTGTTAACACTGCTCGTGACCTTGAGGTGCACCTGTCCTGGCTGCTTCCTCCGGTCCCGCCTGCCTTGCCTCGCCGCTAGCCTTTGCTTTTCAGCTTGGGGCTTTTTGCATTTTGTCCGGGAGATGGTAGTGGCGGAGCATTAAGTAAGCAGGTGTGCTAGGGAGTGAATTTGAAGAGACAAAGTGCTAGGCATGAGTTCAGCAATTCAACTGTTGTGAAGAACAAACATTTATCACGTTTATCTTAAATGTCACGTTAATTATGTCATGTTCACTGTCAAATAACAAATTCCAACATACTCTGCTACTGTTTAATCTGTGGCCTTCTGTGTCACGCTGGTTTCTCTTCATTTCTCTTTCTCATGAAGGGCTGTAGGGTTCTGTTGAGCTAGAATAGTCAACATAAGGCTTAAAAGAAAAAACAAAATCACATGAATAGGAACAGTTTGAAGAAGTCGCTTTGTTAGTAGTTAGGGATTCTGAAGATATTTTTGCATTTCATTTCCTCATTTAAGATTTTGAAAAGAAACAAAAAGCAGAAGCTTATAAGCAGAAAACTTGATACAAAGGAATGCAGTTGGAGCCTGCACTGTGGCGTGTGGGGTTGAGCTGTCCTTGCAGTGCAGACAGCCCGCGTGGGTCCGGATGCGTGAGGCCATCTTCCTGGTGAAGTGTCTGGGAACCTGCTTGGGCCCCTCACCCACCTGGGAGAGCCAGCTCTGGCTATTGTAGGAATAAACCAGCGGATGGAAGACCTCTCTCTGTCTCTTTGAAATAAATAAAACAAATATTTAAAAATTAAAAATATCTAATAAATAAATTAAAACCTAATAGAAGTAAAAATAAATTTAAAAATACGGCTAGCCCTAGCCCTTTATACATTAGAAAATAGTTTTATTTCGTGTATGTATTTGTTATATGATTTATATTTAAGAGCTTGCACACGGGATAGAGTTTCAAGCAAAGCTAATACAGTTTTGCTGTGTAGCGGAGTGAGAGATTTGGAAAGTTTTGTCCCTGTCAGTGGTAACCAGTTCCAATTTGGGAATCCATGGTGTTTGAAATGTCTCGACTTTAACTAAACTTACGGAATTTTGAGAAAGGTGCTGCCTATTCATTCATTAGAATAAACCTATAGGCTAAGTTTTTCATCTGTAAGATTATCATGAAGTTAATTAAAAATTTGATCCTCTCCAGTAGGGATAATTTTCAGAATCAAAATTGTTTTAGTTTTACCTTGAAATCTTATGGTAGCCTTTTCATTTGTTTATTTTTTGTTGCTTTTCATGACTTCTCTAGCTGTTTTCCTGCTTCTGACTTCTCCCTGGCTGATCCTTGTAGTATTTTATAAAAAGCTTTTGTTAAGGTGTCATTTGCCTTACAGCACTGCGCATGTACCATCTGTGCTGGCCTCAGTAGCCAGTCCTCACTGCTTGGTTGGTGCTGGGGGACCTCTGTGGTTAGAGGCTTCTCAGTTCAGGTTCCCCAGCCCCCCATTTCCTATAGTCCTAAGGAGCACTCTTACAGCCCAGTGCCCCACCTCCGCTCCCCCAGCACCCCAGCACCCCTCGTGCTCCCCCAGCACCCTCACTGTACCCTCAGCGCTCCCCCAGCACCCCCAATGCTCCCCCAGCACCCCCAGTGCTCCCCAGCACCCCCAATGCTCCCCAACACCTCATGTGCTCCCCCAGCACCCCCAATGTTCCCCCAGCACCCCCAGCACCCTCAGTGCTCCCAGCGTCCAGCACCTCGTGCACCAGCACCCAGCGCTCCAGCACCTAGCTTCCCAGTACCTCAGTGCTCCCCAGCACCCTCAATGCTCCCCCAGCACCCTCAGTGCTCCCCAGCACCCCCAATGCTCTCCCAGCACCCTCAGTGCACTCGCACCTCAGTGCACCCAGCCCTCAGCCCCTCAGCACCCCAGCGCTCCCAGCACCTCAGCCCTCAGCACCCAGCGCTCCCAGCACCTCAGCCCTCCCCCCAGTGCTCCCCCAGTGCTCCCCCAGCACGCTCAGTGCTCCCCCAGCACTCCTCCAGCACCCCCAGCACCCTCTGCCCCTAGCTGCACCTTCTGTTTTCTCTGCCTGCAGGGTTTTCTTCCCTGCTGTTTGTGTTTCAAATTCACCCTTGAAAGTCTGGCTTAAATGTTGGTTCCATGGAGTCTTTCCTGAAATGATCCTGTCTCCGTGTAATACTTTACCCTTAACTCTTTCATGGAAAACTGTTAAGGGAAAGATAAAAATACTTGGTGAAGTGCTTACGGGTACACATTCCCTGCGCATGATTCAAAGAAAGTAACATTTTTTAAACAGAAGTATCAATGTAGTTTAAATTTGGTGTAGACAGCTAGACCATTTAAATGGTGATGGGAATTCAGTCTGTTTTTTTTTTCAAGAGATGTTTGATAAATAAATTTAATAATAGCAAGTAATATAGAATCTAAATTCATTTTTTAAAGTTATAATCTGTGCTTTTAAATATTTTTCCCATTGCTTTGAGAAGCTAAATCTGATATTGTGTATGTTTTTCCAGGCTCAAGGAAAAGAACGTGCATTTAGTTGCTGTGATAAAATAGCATTTTAGTTGCAGGATGTGTTCTGATGAGAGGAGTGGAATTTTTATTTTTTTGATCCAAGTTCGTGACTTGCTCGCAGAACTGGTGAATGCTTGAACTGAAAAAAGTTGATTGTAAAATGTAATATTTAAAAATTTATTTATTTTAAAATCACTTATTGTTTATTTCCAGAATCTACCGTCTGGGTCATCACGTGTTGGAGCCATTAAGCTTACCTACATTTCAAAGGTAGGCTTTTCGCGTTGTCTTAACATTCCTGTGAGAGTTATAATCCCTGTGAATGGGAGGGGTTGTTCATGGAAATACAGTTCTAATTTTTTACATTAATCAAATTAGCATGTGAGGGAATTTAACTGATATTATGTGGCAAGTTGCAAACGTTAATGTAAACTTAAAAAATGATCCAGATATCATACATATTCACGGGGCACAGCGTGAGAATTCTTGGTTGTGATTTTAGTGATCAAGTCAGGCTAACTCGTATTTCCCTTTGCTTAGCCATTCTCATTTCTTTGTGTTGGAAACCTTCAAGTGCCTCACTTCAAGTTGTTTACAAAGTATGTGACAAATGAACATTGGCTTTGATACATAGGAACAGTAGAAAAGGGAAGCATCAGTTAAGGATTAGGGTTTTTTTTTGTGTGTTTTTTGAGAATTTTTTTTTTAATATCCATTGGATGAACACCCTAGATAAGGTTTCTTGGATACGCCTTCCCTGGCCACAGGGAAGTTTTGTAAGATGTGTGGGCTGTGGCTCGGTGCGTATATTGATACTGAGCCTCTTCAGCTGTCGATGCCCACACAGTGGACAGCATGCCCAGATGCCCACACAGTGGGCAGCATGCCCAGATGCACACGGAGGACTTGACAGCCAGCTCGTCTAGGCCATGAGTGGATATCAAGTGCCTCGTCAGAGGGTAGAAATACAACAGGTTGGACAGTTCTGGCCGAGCTTTGTAGGAGTGTCTGGATCTGTGCAGGCATCCAGGTGGACTTGGTCAGCCAAGAGCCCTTGGAAAGATTTTCTCAGCCTCCGTGCAGTAAAGCAGCGATGTCTCAGCACAGCCAGAATCATTCGCTAAGCAGAGAGCTGCTTGGAAGGATGCCGGCGTTGCAAGGGGCCGGGTTAGCTATCTGAGCCACCACATGGCCCTAACGGCTCAATTCTGTCTGGACAGTTTTTGGGAAAGACTGTACTAAGTCTGTATTATGTTCGCTTAGAATTTTTCCAACTTTTGAATGTCATTGCCTTTTGACATTTTGTTTCTTTGTGTTAAAAGTTTTTGAAAATAGAAAAGCTTTATTTTGGTCAGGTAGCTTTTTGCCTTGTTTTTGGTGCTTTGGAAATGAAAAGATACTTAACTGTTAGCTTTGTGGGATTTGTTATGTGTTACATAAAAGAAATAGAAGTTTATGAGGTTTGAAATGCAAAAGATAGCAGCTTGTTACTAATTCATACACACATATTGGGCTGATTGACAAAGAGAAATCGCTTCAATAAAGCGAGCCTCAACGTCCTTCTGTGTAGAAGATGGTATTTTGATGCATAAAATACTTTGTTATCACTGTTACTGTAGACTGATTCATTACTAGTGGACCATTCCCAAAAATTAATTTTTAAACAGGTAAGATTGCTTACTTGAAAGAGAAATATTTTCTGTCAAAAGTCAGATTATGTGAATTTACAAGAGACAGATATTAAGTATATACCTCAGTGGTTCTTGTAAATGCATTTTAAGAATGAGGCTGGCACCATGGTGTGGTAGGTTTAATTCTTTCTCAGAATTTATTCCTGGAACAAAATTCAATGTGACTCAGCTGTGAATTTGTAACTGGGATCATTCCGGAACCCCAGGTGTAGAATTGCTTATACAGGCACACTGCAGGCACTTTAATTAGGAATTATGTCACTGGGCAATAGCATGGCAATAACATGAATGGGCCTCCGAGACCTACGTTAACTAAAGGGATAGCAGCCACAGGTGTAGTTAGTTGCTTCAATTCTAAAGTGAACAGGCTAATCTTCCCCCTGCAAGTGCCAGCATCCCATATGCGCACCATTTCATGTCCTGGCTGCTTCACTTCCCTTCTCGCTCTCGGCTTGTGGTCTGGGAAAGCAGCGGAGGATGGTCCATTGCTTTGGGACCCTGCACCCATGTGGGAGACCTGGAAGAAGCTCCTGGCTCCTGGCTCCTGGCTTTGGATCAGCTCAGCTCTGGCCTTTGCGGCCATCTGGGGGGTGAACTAGCAGATGGAAGATGTTTTCTCTCTGACCTTCTCTGTAAATCTGCCTTTCCAATAAAAATAACTCTTAAAAAATGAAGTGACCCCAGTATCCTGCGGTGTTTTCCTTTTCAAAAGGAGCTTGTAGGTCCGACACAATAGCATGGTGGCTAAAGTCTTCGCCTTGCGTGCACTGGGATCCCATTTGAGTGCTGGTTTGTATCCTAGACGCTTCACTTCCCTTTCAGCTCTATGCTTGTGGCCTAGGGTGGTGGGAAGGCAGTAGAGGACGGCCCAAAGCCTGCACCCATGTGGGAGACTTGGAGGAAGCTCTTGGCTTCGGATCCATTCAGCTCCGGCCATTGAGGCCACTTGGGGAGTGAACCAGTGGACGGAAGATCTTCCTCTCTGTCTCTCCTTCTCTCTGTAAATCTGACTTGCCAGTAAAAAATAATAATAATAAATATTTTTAAAAGGGGGGGAGCTAAATATTATTTTTAGTTCCTTGTTAGACTTATGCTTTGTCAGTTTTGAATTTTATATATGATCTTTGCCCACTACCATTTTTCTTTTGCAAGTCACAGACAACAGAAAGAAACAATTTCGGAGAATTTATAGTTTCTATACTCATTGAAGGTATCAGAGGATTATGTTAAACCAAACCTATTCATGCATGTGTCATAAATCCTATTGTAACCTCATTTGCTTTGGAAAGAAGAACAGGTTTGCTTAAAAAACGGGGAAGTGTCATGTTCTAGGGCTCTAAAAATTCAGATCCAGACCCTGTATTTAGCATGCTGTTGTTTTTGTAGTTGCCTTTGGAGGTCTCTGTGCTGCACCTGTGATCACTAGGGAACGAAACGTGGGGGTTTGTGCAGTGTTTGAGCTTGGTTATAGAAGCAGAGGAAGGAGTAACAGTCTCTCTCTCTCTCTCATTAGGTTAGCGATGCAACCAAGCTAAGGCCAAAGGCTGAGTTCTGTTTTGGTAAGTAGTCACATTTTATGCGTCTTTACAGTTAAACTGATACAATTACATCACATTAGAAAACAGTCACAGAAAACCACACAAAACCCACGGCTTAATGAGTTGATCTAAGGTGAATTCCATTGTAATCACTATTAAGTTGAGGAAATAAAACTATTACCTTATCATCACACTTCTAAAGCCTCATTGCCATGTCCTGCCTGCCCACAGCCTTCTCCCTCCAGTCATATGTAACTCTTACCATGGGCATTTATACTGGTAACCTCTAGCAAGTATTACGGTAATTTTTAACCTTCTACTTTATGTTATTCCATATTAAATCTGTGAATAATGAAAAGGATTTGGCCTTTAGTTTGTGAGTAATGGGAGATTTATAGCTTGGGGGCAGGAGCAGTTGAAGGCATTGCATGACTTTGTCTGACAGATGTGTAGTCAGTGCCTGCTCTGTGCACTGGACACTGTCGTGGCTCTGGACTACAAAGTGAATAAGCAATTGTTCCCTCTAAGGGTCTCACTGGAAATTATAAGCTTTGTTTTCTCAGTCAGTAGATAAAGGGAGTACAGTCTACCAAAGAAGCTTAAGGAAAGGATTTCACATTCTTTTCTTTTTAAAATATTTATTTTCATTTTATTGGAAATGCAGAAAGATTTTCCTGCTAGCTAGGGCAGGGCCAGGTCAAACCCCAGAGCCACAACTCGGTCCAGGGCTGCTCTACAGGTGGCCGAGACCCAAGGGTCTGATGCGTTCCCAGGGTGCACGTTGGTGGGAGTTGGTCAGAAATGGGGCTCCCTGATGGGGGCGGTGCGGGTGTCAGCTGCTGCTCCGTACACCTGCATCTGAGGTTGTTCTAAACTTCCCGTTCCTGGGCAGAGTGCACAAGTCAGGGGTCGTTCTGGATGCAGAGACACTTGAATTAGGAGTCAGTTAAACCCCTAACCGTCCTTTACCACTGGGGGAAGAGGCGGGAAGGACATGTCCAGAGTCGTGCAGAGAATGTGTTCTGAGTGGAATGACCACTTGCTGTGCGGAGGCTGAAGGAAGGGTCAGAAGGCAGGTGGGAGAGGGTGGCACGCCTCGACAAGCAACACATTTTGTTGTTTTGGAGAAGGGAGGAAAGGTAGTAGAGAGCATCTGGAAAGCACATAGAAGCTGAAGGAGCTGAATTGCCTAGATGTATACACACGGCCTGCCACGGGGACACACGGCCTGCCACGGGGACACACGGCCTGCCACGGGGACACACGACCTGCCACGGGGACACACGGCCTGCCATGGGGACACACGGCCTGCCACGGGGACACGTGCCCTGCCACGGGGACACACGGCCTGCCATGGGGACACACGGCCTGCCACGGGGACACGTGCCCTGCCACGGGGACACACGGCCTGCCATGGGGACACACGGCCTGCCACGGGGACACGTGCCCTGCCACAGGGGACACACGGCCTGCCACGGGGACACGGCCTGCCACGGGACACACGGCCTGACCACGGGGAACACACACGGCCCTGCCACGGGGACACACGGCCTGCCATGGGGACACATGGCCTGCCACGGGGACACACGGCCTGCCACGGGGACACGTGCCCTGCCACGGGGACACACGGCCTGCCATGGGGACACACGGCCTGCCACGGGGACACACGGCCTGCCACGGGGACACACGGCCTGCCATGGGGACACATGGCCTGCCACGGGGACACACGGCCTGCCACGGGGACACGTGCCCTGCCACAGGGACACACGGCCTGCCATGGGGACACACGGCCTGCCACGGGGACACGTGCCCTGCCACAGGGACACACGGCCTGCCATGGGGACACACGGCCTGCCACGGGGACACACGGCCTGCCACGGGGACACACGGCCTGCCACGGGGACACGTGCCCTGCCACGGGGACACACGGCCTGCCATGGGGACACACGGCCTGCCACGGGGACACACGGCCTGCCACGGGGACACGTGCCCTGCCACGGGGACACACGGCCTGCCATGGGGACACACGGCCTGCCATGGGGACACGTGTCCTGCCACGGGGACACATGGCCTGCCACGGGGGCACGTGTCCTGCTGTGGGAACACATGGACATGTGTCCTGCCACGGGGACACATGGACACGTGTCCTGCCACGGGGACACATGGACATGTGTTCTGCCATTGGGACACACGGCCTGCCACAGGGACACATGGCCTGCCACAGGGACACGTGTCCTGCCACGGGGACACACGGCCTACCACGGGAACACACGGCCTGCCATGGGGACACACGGCCTGCCACGGGGACACGGCCTGTCAAAGGGACAAACGGACTGCCTAGGGGACACATGACCTGCCACGGGGACACATGTCCTGCCACAGGGACACATGGCCTGCCACAGGGACATTGGTTACGTGACTTGAAGTAGGCTTTAAAAACCCCCAAACTGGGAGAAAGGCAGGATGATAAAACATTAGAAGGAAAAGTGAATGAAATGTTAATGGGGACAAGTCAAATAAGAACTTTGTATTTTGTTTTTGCTTTTTGAACTCTGTTTTTTAGAATGTACAATTGATTTCCAATCAGTTAGCTCTGGTTTTAACTGGAAGAGCAATATCCAGCATGATTTTAACCCTAGTAATATGTCTTTAGCATTTCTTCTTTTTTTTTTAAATATTTATTTTATTTTCATTACAAAGTCAGATATACAGAGAGGAGAGACAGAGAGGAAGATCTTCCATCCGATGATTCACTCCCCAAGTGAGCACAACGGCAGGTGCTATGCCGATCTGAAGCCAGGAGCCTCTTCCGGGTCTCCCACGCGGGTGCAGGGTCCCAAAGCTTTGGGCCGTCCTCGACTGCTTTCCCAGGCCACAGGCAGGGAGCTGGAAGGGAAGTGGAGCTGCCAGGATCAGAACCGGTGCCCATAAGGGATCCTGGGCGTGCAAGGCGAGGACCTTAAGCACCGCGCCACCGCGCCGGGCCCCAGCATTTCTTCTTGAATCACACGGTGATAACCACAACTCAACAGTTACACAGAAGGATGAGATCTTTGTGAATGTGGTTTGACCCCATAGGATCTGCCCACGTACCATTTTTCATAAAATACTTTTTTGTAGCTATTGTATGACCTGGGAATTGCCGTCTGTCTCCCTTGCCTGAGCATCTCAAACAAATAACCTGAAACTTAGACTTACTGTAGCACAAATTCTAATTTCCACCCTAGCCCTAGTTTCAATCTATGAATAAGTCCCCCCCAAGAAAAGACTGGAATAAATTGAATATGGTAATTATTGTAAGCTGAAACAAATTGTTTGACTTACTGTATAATGGTATTCCTTGATTACCAACATGCTTTAATTACCAGCAATAATTTGTGTGAATAGTAGCTTGCTTATATTACATCCTTTGTAGTACTGTTAGTGTGTCAAGTCCGACTGGTTACCGTGTTTGTAAAGCACACACTCACAGATGCCTAGGCTGCCTTGTACCTAGGCAAGTGTTACGCAGCTGAGAGAGAAGCAGCTAGTACCAGGCTTGCATTTCGGGCCTGGTTCATGCCAACTCTGTGGTGACTATGCCAGTGTTCCAGCAGAGGTAGCTATTCTCTATCATTAAATCTGCAAGAGAGTGGCTTTTGCAGGAAGAGACTTAAAAATCCAAACTTTGGGCCCTAAGGCATACCCCTGCCAGTGGTCCGAGCCTAGAATTAGGTAGGCTGGAGGGTGGGCGGTCACATGTTGGCGTCATCCCCTGCTGGTGGCCTAGGCAGGTTGTTCTCATGGCTTGCCACCATGCAGGTCTGGGAGCAGGTTGGCCAGAGGTGCCGCATGGGGTCCTTTGTGGCCGCTGTGGCAGTGCATCGTAGCACTAGGCCAGGGGCTTCAGACTGGTAGTGAAAGTGCCACACTGATGTCCTTAATGCTGTGGTCCTAGGCAGTGATACACCACTGTTCTTGTTTGGGAGCAGGCAGGCTCATGATCCTAAACAGATCCCATCTGGACTGGGAGAGCAGCCAGGGGGTCTCCTGGGTCCTGAGCAGGTTGCACATATGCACTGGCCCACTGGGCTGAGAGTAGATAGGCCGGGGCCTGAGGGATACCAGGCAGACTGCTCCATGGCATGCCACCATTCTGATTGAGGAGCGACTGGGTCAGGGGCCTCACAGGTCCTAGGCAGGCTGAACCTGTGACCACCACATTAGGCCAGGTGCCTGAGGCTGGGATCCTGGACCCGGGTGGGGGTGCCAACTGACAGCCTTCGGTGTGGAACCCCAGTGTCAGGACCCAGAGCCTGGAGGGTATATCCTGGAGTCAGAATGCACAGTGTGTGCTGTGTCATTTCCTGTGCAGGGGAGAGAATTGTCCCCAAGTGCACACAAATGGTGAGTTAGCCTGCTCCTGTGAGCTAGTTGAGGACTTTGGATGCCACTTCAGAAGACAAAAAGACAAGCAGCTTCTTAGAGTGGCGGTGGTGATGCAGGGGACACAGCATTGGCTCTGGCTCCTGAGATAGACTCGTTACATGGGATAGGTCATGCACGTCCTAGGCTCTAATCAGCAGGAAGTAGCTACAGATGAGATGAATTTGCATCTTCAGCAACCTTTAAGAATTAGGACTGGAATCTCCGAGGGGAGAATGCAGTGGGACAGGCAGGTAGCAAGCTTAGCATCAACCTCTTCCTGTCGATCAGATGCCCTTTTCCCGGGATGCTCTCCCCTCACCTGGAGCATGGGCTGGGATCATACAGTCTGTATCTGGGCTCATAAGAAGCCCGGCCACAGGGTGGGGACGGGACACTGTCTTCCCTGTGGACACACATGACAGTAGAAGCAGCTGTGTCCCACTTTCCCCTCCCTGTTGACTCTGTCCCCGGATTTGGCCCTCATTTGTGATTTCCTCACCTTTTAAGTAAACTTCAAAGAAAAAAATTGCTAAAGCAAAAATCAAGTGAAAGAAATGCCTCCTTGCACTTCAGAACCCTTGTAGTCCTAAATTCACATTTTATTCTTTTACCTG